CCAGCCAGCCATGGGGAATTCTGGGAGTTGAAGTCCACTCATCTTAAAGTGGCCAAGTTTGGACAACACTGCATTAAGGCAATAAAACTGATTTTAAAACAGGCCCAGAAATGCCGAAAACGCCCTCTTTGCTGCCCTCTGGTGCTCATGTATGTGTTTGCAGCCCAGAACCAGACCTACCCATGGGATCCCCCTGGGACATTTTGCTTGGTCCTTTTGGCCACCCCGCAGTGGAAAATGAGGCAGGAAATTCCACGTAAGCCAAGGAAGCAGGCCAGAGGCCCTTCTCTGCCTCCAAAGGCCGAAGTTTACAATCTCCAAGGGGCTTGAGAAGACACCCCCAAAGACCAGCAGCATCCACGCAGGGAGAAGCGGCTGTATAAAAATGGCACGCAGGTTGGCGCGGCTCTAGTTTAAGCTACAGGGAGGTTGTGCATCATGGAATCCGAGAAGACAAGGGTCCGTGGGACCTTGCGGATCATCCCGTGCAACCCCCTGACCGGGCAGAAATCCACACCGCTGCATCCCCAAACCAAAAGCCTTCCAGCCTTGGGTGGCAAGGTCCTTTGGCAGCCCCCCGCGCCACCGATGATCCGCGTTTGCTGTTGGGAAAAACCTCCCAGTCCTGCAGGAATCCAGTTTGTGGTTCAGAGACTTGCGCAAGTCTTCTTCTAGCGCGGCATCAATGTGGTGTGAAGCAGGGCATCGCATGAAGACGGCCACAGAGTTTATTGGCGTGCCCTGTGAAGGGGGCAGCTGCGTTTTGACCCCTTGGCTGGGGAAAGGGATGGCGGGCTGCCTTCCCACCACGCCAAGCGTGGTGAGCTACGTTGAAATCGAGAGGCATCAGAGGCAGGAACCACCATTTTATCCACTTCGGATGGACCTCATGGTTGAGCTCAATAGCAACAGACTATGACATGTTTTGCTCTCTCCGTGGGGTTCGTATATTTTAAAACCTAATTTTTTTAAAAAAATTGGGGTAACGTTTTTATTTTAACGGTATCTTTTTACCTTTTTATATGCCCGTTTTTATTCGCTTGTTATTTTATTCATTGGCATACGCCGCCCAGAGTCGTCGTGTGAGATGGGCAGCTGTATAAATGCGACATATAAATAAATACATAAATACATAAATAAATAAATAAATAAATGGTAAATTTGTACATGTATGGTACCTGTCTCTTTACTTACATTGTTATAGATTTTTTAAAAATTTCTATATCTTTTTTTTCCCCTCCTCTAGGCATCTTGGATTTATGTTAATGTAGTTACCGGATTTGGTTTGCTAATCGTAGTTCAAGAGAAACGATAAAAATCGAGCTCGGTGAGCTTTAATCTTGGTTAGACTTTTGGCTGCTTTGTGCCAACCTAGGTCAGGGGATTAGTTGGGGGTCAATGCAAACTCTGAAAAGGGGTTTGTTCAGGAACCCAGTTAAGGGCCTTATATGTATGCAAACAGCAACCATCTTAAGCCAGGGAGATGGTTTCGTGAATCCTTTTCAAAAAGATTCCGCAGACTTTCAACAAGATCCTGGATCGGGTGCAAATATCGAACGAGGCAAGAAGATCTACGGGGTGCCAAGGAACTCCTGGCCTCACGAATTCACTCTGGTCTCAGCCTTGGCTGGGGGGTGGATGGTCAAAGACCACACCAAACTGGATGGCACAATTTTTGTCTGCGATTCGATTATGGAAACTTGCCCTGAGAAGAGAAGTAAAGTATTCTGGATACTCCAAAAGTGCTTTATTCTAGAAGCGTGGTATTGTGCTAGAAGTGCTCGGCTGCTATGTGTTTTATTTTTTTATACGGTGCATTTTATGGGTTTTATCTGTTTCATTGTAAGCCACCCAGAGCAGGGTTTCTCAACCTTGGCCACTTTAAGACGTATGGCCCACACCCCCCAGAATTCCCCAGCCAGCCAGGCTGGCTGGGGAATTCTGGG